TCCTCCTGAGAGGGCAGTGCATGAAGCTCTCATAGTGAGCCCAAAGATGCAAGGAAGCTGGAGAAGCCAGCTGAGGAAAACTGAAGGCAGCAAGCCAATCCAACTCCCAGAGAAAAGCCATAAGAATTGCAACACATGGAGCTGCAATAGGATGGGGCTGCCAAGCTGTTTTGGAGCTCACATCAGGCTACAACTTGCCCTAGTTGCTGTACATGGAGTTACAGGACTTAATGTTTGGTCTGCTGTGGTTTAGTCTTGCTTTGATCCTATTTTTTTCTGTTTATATCTACATTTTTGAATGGGGAATATTTACCCTGGGCCATTAGTCTCGTGTGTATATCAGCAGTGTTTAACTTTCTTTTTGATTTTTATAAGGACTCACAGCTAAGAGTTTGCCTTGCATCCCAGAAGAGACTTTGGACTTGGACTTCTCAGCAACAGTGTTGATGCATTGGCAACTCTTGGAGATGGATTAAAAGTATTTTGCATAAGGAGATGCTTGTGAGTCTTTTGGGAGCTAGAGCAGCTTGTTATTCTTTGGATCAAGAATGCCTCTCAAAGGTCTGATGAATTCACAGGTGGAGCTTGTGGAAGGTGATTGGATCATGAGGTTGCTGTACTGTCTGTGGAATCATCCACAGTTCAGTAGCTGAATGCGCATTGGAAGGTGGAGCCTGGTCAAAAGAGGCAAGTCATAGGGGAAGATGTGTCTCCCTCCTTGGCTCCTTCTATCTCCCTCTGCTTCCTACCTGCCATGACAAGAGCAACTTTCCTCTGCTGTGTTCATCTGCCATGCTGGTCTGCTTTGTAGCCAGTCATCTATGAACTAAAAACATGAGCCAAAATAAACCTCTCTTTCTTGAAATTGCAGGTGTTGGGTATTTTGGTCCCAGGAATAAGAAAGTGACTAAGACAATGTGTTTGTGGGCAAGAGAACCAAATAAGTGTCTGAGCTGCATGAGGGACTCCTGGATGTGGGGTGGCTGCAGCTAAGGACCAATAGACTATGACTGGTCATTGGGGCCATCCACTCTCAACCATGTCCCAGGAGTTGGAAAACAGAACTTTGATGAGTTAAAGTGACATCAGGAAGCCAAAAACCATGCAAATTGTGTTTTGTATCCTTCAGTGATGTGGTTTATTTTCTATTAGACATGGAATATTCACCAAAACTGACATTCTTTGGACCATAAATGTCAAGAAATTCCAAAAGACAGATAATTGACTGTTCACTGAACCTATGTGCAGGTACGTATATGCAGGTACATATATGCAGGGACATATACACAAGAACATATATGCAGGAACATATGCATAGGTACATATACGCAGGTACATATGCACATCCTACATAACTTATAACCTGTACCTGGGATGTGGTATAAGAAAACAAAATCCAAATATTTTCATCTGGAAATTAAACCCCAAATAGATAGTCATACATAATTTGGGGCTTAAAAAAGGAAACCAAAAGAGAAACTGGGGACTATTTTAAAATGAACACAAACAAGAACAGTACCTATCAGAAATCTGTTGGATGCCACCAAAGTGATGCACCAGGAAAACTGGAGAGGGTACTGTGCTTCCTAGAAATGATAATGACTAAAAGCAAATGAACTAGCTTTCAGTTTGAGAAGCTAGAAAGAGAGCATTGAGATAGGTCCAAGTAAAGAAGGAATGAAAATAGTGCAGAGGCAAACAAACAATGGTAGAGGGGGTTAATGCTGATATAGTTCAGTGGTGCAGTGCTTGCCTGGCAAGCATAAGGTCCTGAGTTTGATTCCCGGTGCGCGCGCATGCGCGCGCACACACACACACACACACGAGACTAATGCTTTATGAATTTACAAAAGACAAAACGTAGTGGCATAGGAATGAGAAAAGAATGTGACTAGAAACAAGAAAGAAAGACAAACCAGGCCACCCCAGACTGGTGTGTTTGAGGATGCAGAGAAAAATGGATATTTTTTTTTAAAAAATTCAAATTACTGAGATTGATTCAAGAAATACTAGGAAACAGGGCTGGATTACTCTTAGCAGGAAAAAGTGAAAGAGGTGAAATTATCCTATACCAGCAGCCAGGCCAGACATTTTTATCTGACAATTTTATCCAGCATTCAAGGAGCAGAAGTTTTGTATGTTACAGACATTATTCTAAAGCAAAGGAGAAAGGTAGAGAGTGGACATTTCATGACTTCTGAGCATTGTTGGCCTCAGATGGGACCAGAGCCCTCAGAAGCCAGGAAGACTTCACTGTCTCACACAAGAGAACATCATATTATTCAGTGGGGCCTGAGAATCTGCAGAATTTAATGCGTGCTCCTGTTGGGAAGTCTAAGCAAACCTCCAACAGCAGGAAGTCAGCTTTCTGAGTGGAGCATCCGTGAGAGGAGTTTTGAGAGCCAGCCGTTGCATGTACTGCTGGCCTCCAGGAATAGCCCAGCTCCTTCCCTTCACACAAGGCGCTCCCGACTGTGACCCTAGCTGCACCCACACCTGTCCTGGCCATGTTGGTCAGACATCTGGGATTCCACGGCCCTTTTCCTCCTTGCCCTCTCCCTCCATGACACCTCTGCTTGGCCTTGTCTTCTTTCCTACCTTCTTCCCTGGCCCAATAGGCACAGCTCCAGACCTTCCCTCCCTGATGCCTGCTGTCCTGGTCATTGTGATTGGTGTCCCAAGGGTCCAGAACTCTGCATCCCTGCAAGAACAGTGACCAGGGCTAAGTTCTCCCCAGTACTATTCCTTGTGACATCTCCCAGGCTATTTTTTACTTAGACCCTAAATCACTGCATCACCCTTGACATAACCCTATAAACTTAAATTTAAACTATGTCCCAGACCAGCTTTTCTCACAACCTCATCTGAGTGCAGCCTCTGTTTCTTACTCATCTCCACTGCCTGTTCATGCAGCATTGGTGAGTCTGCTGAGAAAAATCAGGTTGTTCTCTGCTCAGAGCCCCACAATTTCCCTCCTCCTCAGAGTGAAGCCCACAACCGTGGCTGCCAAGACCATGCAACAACTTCCGCCCTCCATGGTGGCCCATCTTCCCTGCTTCTCCCCTGTGTTGGGCAAACAGGTTCCTGCCACAGGGCCTTTTCACTGCTGTCTTCTCTGCCTCACTCTGATTTTCTTCCAACAGCTGCTGGCTTGCTCCCTCTCTTTCACTAGATTTTCATGTAAATGTCACATTCTGTCAATAGGGTCTTTCCTGGTGTCCTCCCCACCCATAGGGCTCTCTCTGTCCTTCACCTGACCTTGTTTTTATCACAAATCCATAAATCATGATTTGTGGATTTATTTACAGGCTCTGTATATAAATAAATGTATCTGTATGCAGTTTTACATTACCTTTATTGCATCTGACTCATGGACGGGGCCTCACGAGTCTACAGCTTCCCCACTGTCTCCCACGTGGGGAAGAGACCTACACCAGTCAACCTGGGAGACAGACCTGCCTGAGAGAGCAATTTTGTTCTTTCTAGAGGAGGAAAATGAGCTCGTGGTCATCATTTTATATAATAAAGTGATGTACCACAATTCACAAAATAGTCACTCCTCTTAAAGCAAATATAAAACAAATTCAAAGAACTGCGGGGCAGTGAGCCGGAATTGCATACACATGGGCCTTAGTGGAAGGAAGGTCCTAGGAGGGCAGGTCCAGGGTGACCACATACCCACTGGCGAGAAACCAGGCAGCCCTTTGTGAGCAGAAATGACATCTGCAGCACGAAACACAGTTGTAGCTCACAGTCAGAGGGCAGAACAGCACCCAGAACTCTGTGCCTGAGCACCCTGAGTCCCCAAGTCATGGAGAGCTAATGCCATGCATCAGCAGCTCCTGGAGGAGTAGAGCCGGAGTCTTCAGGGTGTTCTAGGAATGTGTCAGCCTTCACATGTGGATACCACACCTGCCACTTACCAGCACCTTTGCTGCAGGATACCTGGAGATAAGTCTTAGCCTCATGCAAACCTACCAGTCTCCAGTTACCAGCCATACAGAAGGGGACAGTGATGGCCTGTGCCTTCTATAGGGCAAGGCTGCTCCAGCCAGAGCTCCTTCCTTTGCTCTACAGGACTCTGCACCTTGCTTGGCCCTGTCCCTTTTCCTGAGGCTGCTCCCCCTGCCCAGGTGGCCTGTGTCCTCTGCAGGATACAATCAGCTCCCTCACCTCCCTGACCACCTTCACCCCTTTTTGGTCAACCAGTAGGGGAATGGATGCAAGGATGCACACCCCAATTACTCCCATAGCTAGAGACACAGGAACGAGGATGTGAGTCAGATGTAGCCCCACCTTAAGGTGCCCAGGCTCACATAAAGATTAACTTGGAACTTGTACCAAGAAAGTACGTGTATGACGACCCGACATTCTGACTAACACATTAAGAATTACTGAAATGTTTTTAAATGGCTGGTGCCTCTGCTTTCCTTGAAGACCTTAGTCTGAGATGCGAGAGGCTGGGCTGGGCTGAACGAGGAGCAGGGCCCTGGGGAGGGGATTGGGATACCGTTTGGATGAGGCTCAGGAGGGAGCACTTGACCCAGACAACCAAGGGGAAGGACGCAGGCCTCTGGCTAGGTGGTTGAGCGTGGGTTGCATTGGGTGTGGCCTTAAGTGCTCTGATAGTGTCTCAGTGAATCTTTGTTACAAAGTAGGCCTTGTGGTCACTGTTACTATATTTATAGGGAAATGCGAGGCTACCTCCTGCAGTATTCTGGAGTCAGATTGGACTTTGAACTTGATTCTGACCAGAACTGGCCAGAGTTTTCTCTCTGTGTCCCTGAAGCTGACTTTGTTGTGAGTCCCGAGGCTCCAGGACGTGCCTCAGATACAAAGTGAAAGACATAGAAGAGGACAAAAGTGTGTTGGGCTTTTGCTCTGGGACAGCCTGAATGTTACCCGCTGGAGAAGCTTGCCTCACAAAGCCCAGAACACTGTGGGACCACAGCCCCAGGCATTGCTGGTGGGTTTGCCTGCCCTGCATATCCAGCAGCCCTTCCCCTGTCGTGCTGAAGCCCCTCCATAGTACAGAGACCTCATGAGGACCCCCTACAGTAGGGCCAGAAGGGGAGCTCTGTGGCCTCAATTTAATGGGAAGATGGGCAAGGCAGAACCAGGCCCCAAGGGGAAGAGGAGAACAGAGCATCCCTTCACCTCTGCTCTTGACAGGAGTCCTGTCCAGCCCTTCAGAGTCTGTTCATTGGCCTCATTGTGGTTTTCAGAGACCACTTGGAAGCAGTTCTTCCTATGAACGTAGTCACTGCAGGGGAGCTGCCTCAGATCCAAAGTGAGAGACGTGAGTTTTTGCTCTGGGGCAGCCTGAATTATCCCAAGGCCATGGCTCCACAGCCCAGAGGGACCTGGGAAAGAATGGAGCCATGGACATCAATGATCTTATTGCAGACTGTCTCCTTTCAACAGGTAGCATGTGACTGTGGTGTCCTCTCACCCTGGCTAACTTGTGTGTGGAAAGCAAAATTGTGACTTGTGAAATACTTTCATCTCCAAGTTGCCAGTGACATCATTCTCTCTCTCCCTGAGCATGGGGCGTCATTTCAGAAGGAGGCATTTTGTAGAGTGAACAGGTATTCACCAAACTATTTTGTGTATAAGTGTGGTCTATGGGCTTGGTGGTTAGAGACAAAAATGCAAATATTAGACAAATAAGATTGGATATTTAGAAGCAAGTGCAACATTCAAATGAGAGGATAAATGACAGGAAAACATATTCAAGCCCTCAGGTTTCTGGGTTGGTATCAAAAGCTGCAGCCTGGGCTCAGCTGCATGGTTGGGGGGTCCCCCATCCAGCAGGCCCTTGCCTCTGGAGCCCCTGTGCTGTGAAGTGAGGCCAGGTACAGCGGCTTCAGCCTGCCCTGCTTCTCCTCTGTAAACTATGAACCTCGTGCTCTCTCCAGGTGTTGGTACAAGCCCAGGCATAGACTTCAGTTCCAAAGGCCTCTTCTGTAGGTCTGTTCTGGCACACAGCAAGCTCTGCACAACTTTGGAGATCATGGCCAGGAGAGGTCTCCTGACAGGCCCCTTGCCAGTTAGAACACTTGTTCCCACTAAGAAAAACTTTTGCCAACACTACCTGTGCAAATAAACACCTCTGTGACAGCCATGAGTTCCTCCTTCCTGTACCTGGCAGACCCCAGGGATGGACAGAGCATTCCAGACCCCTTCAGTGCCTGATGGTGAGGCTCCCACATGTGTGCACCTTGATGTCACTTGTCATCAGAGAGGAGGTCCTAGAGCTGGTCAGCATGTCACAGATGCTTTCGCGCTGCTACTGGGAAGGAAGTAACAAGGAGGGGCACCAGACATGGACACAGTAAGTGCTGGGTGTAAACCTATTGCACATAGATAAATCCTGCAAGCAGCTGCCTAGAATATTCTTTATGTTGGAAAGTATGAGTTGAAGTCATTATCCAAGATTTTATAGGCTATTTCTTGGCTGAGCCCCAGTAAGGCTTATGGCTTTGCAGGAAGGCAACATCACATTTTATGAATGACAGATGGCTTTTATCACACCTTTGATGGTCGTTCATGGTGAGGAGACTTCGATGCCCGCAGGCAGGGACCAGAGTGGGTGTGGGCAGAGTAGCTCTTCTGGCCTGAAAAGGGGACCTGTTCTGCTCTTAATTTTCCTAGGAGTCAAGTCCTGGATGTGGGAACCCTGGTACAGGATGACTGTGGTGTCCCTGCTGTGCCTGATGGATGTGGGACCTCTGTCCCTGCTTGTTCTGTCCCCTCTCCTCAGTTCTGTGGTGTCTGCATGAATTTCCTTGGCTAAACCTTACTCTCCCCCAGGAGGCCCGGTGAGCATAAATGCTGTGGCCTGAGCTTTCCTCTGGGCTCACATTAATCACAGCTCAAATCTTCACCCAGCATAGCCTGACTGGCTTTGTAACAGAATCAGAAAAGGAGGATTGATTTGCAGCATTTGGCCCAGACAACCACATGTTTAAAGATTACTGAAAACCAGCAACTCCTCATCTCTGCTCTACTCCAAATGGTCAAAGAAGAAAGATCAGGAGGATAACCAGGCCACCCGGGGGCAGTGAGGTTCCCTCTTGCAGCAATTTTGCCACTGAGCATTGTGATCAGCACAGATTCTCACTGAGAGGGGATTCTGAGTCCCTACCCTCAGTCTTCCCAGGCTGCCCATGGCATGGGATTTCTCTGTCTCTTTAGGTGGGTTCTGCTAAAGCCACTGCCTATTCTCCAAGGATTTAACCATTGCCCATGCTGGTGCCAGAGCCACTACTCCTGCAAGAACATGGGGAGGTAAATTTTCTCATGGAGCTAGGAGTGGGGGACCCTGGACAGGGCTGTGAAGAGCTGCGTTCTCTTTAGGGAGACACCCTTGCCCATCCTCAGTTGATCTGAAGGCCCTAACTTTTGCCTCCAGGATGGAGAGGTTGGGGAACTGCTTCCCTTCTGGCTCGTTCTCTCTCTTGGTCACCCTAGCACTGTGTCCCATCTGTTGCACTGGGCTGGGGTTAAGGGTCTGTGGGTACCTGTCTGTCAGACAGAGGGAAAGTGAGGACCTACAGGTTCGAGGAGCACAGCTATGCAGCAGATCTGCTGGGTCTTTGGAGAGCCCCAAGTCCCATGTGCTCAGACCTCTGTGTGGCTCAGATCCAGTCATGCAGCCAGTTTCTGTAGGCCACAGGATGAAGCTGCTCCTGATGTGTGTGGTGTGGTCTGACACTTGAGGAGGGAAAGGATACCCAGAGCCCGGTTCCCACAGAGCCCCAGAACCAGGAGGGAAGCCCACACCCAGCTCAGGTATGTGTTAGAGGATTGTGACCCATGGAGGCCAGCATTGTTCAAGAAACAGGAAATGATGCCTGGGCCAGGGACCATGAGATTGGACATGCAGAACGGAGCAGGAAGCAGATCAGAAGGAAGTTCTGCCATCAGCTGTATGTTACCCTCTTCCATGTGTTACCCAACTGGGGTGGTGAGGCAGAAGGGGGCGCACTCATGGAAAAGCCTTACTCACATCATGTGATGTCTGCTCATTAGGCAATGGCTGTGTGTTGGCCTCCTTCCAAGTGCTGGGACCACGGTGAGGGCCTGTGAATCCCTGCCAGTGGTGCCCCATCTGACAGAGGAGGGTAGCAGGGAAAGGGACAGACAGCCACTGAACTGTCTTTCCTGCTGCACCCATGTAGGTACTGTGAGGTCTCAAAGATAGCCTGGTGGGAAGGAAAGGCTGTATGGGAAGAACAGGGAGGCCCAGTACTGAGTGGACAGAACCTCTGTGATAAAGTTGGAGTCCTAGGAGGAGACTGAGAGCTGGCCGAGGTTACTTCCAATGGCGGAACAAGCTTGTGTCTCACATTGCTCCTGTGTGGGAGGGCAGTGAGCAGACCATTTCAACTGGGTGATGGGGCAGAAGGGGGTGTACTCATTGGAAAGTCTTCAGCAGGTTGGTGCAGGAAGGAGGCTGAGAAGCACACCTCATATCACCCCTCCTATCACCCTGTGTCTCCTGCACGGGGCAGCAACCCCTCTGATGGTGTCCGAGTGTCTAGATGAGAGATCTGAAACTCCAAAAGGGAAACCAGCCCTGTTTTACTTTTTCCATAAATAAAATCCCACCTCCTTGCCCAGAGCAGCCCAAGGCCTTCATCTCAGGACCAAGAAGCAGCCTCATTCCGGGCAGCACAGGAGAGAAGTTTGCTTCCTGAAGCTGCTGCCAGAAGATGGCCTGCCTGGCTTCCCATCAGCCTGGATCACACTGTCAATACCTCCTGGGTGACCAACTCTCACCCTACCTGGCCAGTCCTGGCCCTGAGTGGGCTCTCCTGAGCCTGAAAACCTCCCTCATCGATTTTTAGGGGCACATGACAGGAACAGGGTTCCCTCTCTAACCAGGCCTAGGTGATAGAAACAGGGTTCCTTCCAGTCCACACCCAGGGTGGCCACAGCGTGGCCCCTCTGCGAGTGGGGTAACATGGGGACAGGAGAGACATCTTACTGTTGGTTGTAGCCTCCCCCGCAGTGGCCACCTCCAGCAGAGCAGACCTGATACTGTGCTGTGGCCTCCCCAGGAGAGCCAAGGATAACAGTTTTCTTTGGTACCATGTGAAATTAGCACTTTGGGGGTTCACTAAGGGACCAGCAAAGGCCATGCCTCAGTGTTCTGGACTAAGAGATCCTGGGGCCCAACCTAGAAGGCACAGACAGGCATAGGGTACAGGTAACAGACACCCTGAGCAGGACCAGGCAGGGATGGGTGGTGAGGGTGAGGGAGGGGATTTTAGGGAAGGACAATTCCCATCCCCTCAGCCCCAGCCTTAGGAAACCAGGGCTTCTAGAAAGATCTGTGAGGCCAGAGTGTCATCAGAAACATACCACATCGATCCCTGTAGTTCTGCCTCTTCATGCAGAACGACAAACAGGTCCAGCCCCACTGCCCTATCCAAAGGCATAAAGTTCCTCACCACCATGCCACAGATGGGCCCCCATGCCCACAGGTGCCAAGATTGAAGGGTGTTTCCAGTCCGTTACTACTCAGACTCTAAATAAGACCAAAGGGGAAGTAGAGAATCTGGAGCCAGGAGACAGAGATGGCCCGGTGTTACAGTGATGCCAGTGCAGGGTTACACTTCCCAGAAGTTCTATAATTGTGTTCCTGGTGCCCCTGCCCAGTGCTCGATTGGGAGCCTTGCCCACCGTTCTCACTCTGCAGATGGACCTGGGGTCCTGGAGCCTGCACAGAGGCTGGGCCCATCCAGGCCACAGCATAGATCCATAAGCCTCCTCCACATGGACTGGGCACAGCAACAAAGTCAACTAGAGGCCAACGAAGGCCCAGGCCTCACTGGAGCTCTCATTCTTGGGGAATCATTTCCAGATCCAGCAGTGAGCAGAGGTTTCACTTTCCACAGCTCTGACACTGGACATTGGTGTTGCCCCATGATGTGGATATGCAGAAATTGAGGAACAGAGCTGCAGACCAGGGCCTGGAGCCAGCCTGAGCTATCAACCAGAGAGGGTACTGCTGGTGATCCAGGGGCAAAGCAAGAATCTAGGCTACAGCTGCAGTGTTCCTGGAGGCAGCTGGATCTCAAGGTGAACGGATTCCTGAAAGCCCCAACTGCGAGAGGCAGGAATATTCCAGTGCTGGACTCCTCCTGTCCATCCTGGGAGCCTGGGAGCCTGACACTGCAGGCAGCAGTATCTGTTGTCCATCTCCCTTGATCCTGCCCCATGTGGTCACAGGCCTGTTCCTCTGCAGGCAGAATGTATAAACAAGTGCAGGAAACAACTCTCATGTCACTCCCCAAACACTACATGTTGATTGGTGGGTAGAGGAGGCAGTGATCCTTCCTTGGACGCCATGTCCTGCTCATCTGCTCTGCTAGAGTCCAGGAGAATGGGGTATAGGTGGGGATCCCCTGAGCTCCTCTCAGGTGGGCAAAGCCAGAGGGGCTCCCAGGGAATCTGGACAGCTGGAGAAGCCACTGGCTGAGTCCCTGCACTTCCCGCTGCACCTCCCAACTACTCCACATCACCAGGATCAAGAAGAGTCACTGCCATGCAAGGGCCCCCACAGACACGGACACTTCTTGATTCTTATAGGGCCTGTGGCAGGGCCAAGCAGCCTCCAGGATTTGGTCCCGGAGCAGCAGCAGCCCAGTGGTAGTGACTGTACCACACAGTCCCTCACAGCCCCTACGATTCTCCGTCTTTCTCCTGAATTTGCCTTTCTGGGATTCCTGCTCTCAGGACACCTGCATGACAGCAGGAGTAGAGCAGCATGCCTGTGGACCCTCACGGGCCAGGAACATCTCTGTCACACTTCAGGTGGTGGCTGTTTGTCACCAGAGCTTCCAACGGGATAGGAGAGATGTGTGGAGGGAAGGGGCAGGAGCTGAGCTGTCCAGCTAGGGCTGCAGTGGGCTGGATGGCTGCAGCTTAGAGCAGCCTCAGACATATGCAAGGGATGAGGGAGGCTGAGTCCCAACAAAACTTTACTTACAGACTCCGAATTTCATATAATTGTTCACATGTCATGAATATTTTCTTCATTTTCCCCAACCATTTAAAAATACACAAATCGTTTCTGTCTTTCTGGTAAACAAAGATGGAAGCAGAATTGGGCCTTGGAACTGCAGCTTGCCTTTGGGGTTTCTTTTTAAAGGCACAGTTTTTGTTTCGTGTTTTGAGACCTTCCTGGGTTTTCCAGGCTGGCCTCAAATTCCTGGTCTCAAATAAACTTCCTGCCTCATCCTTTCCGAGTAATTGGACTACAGGTATGCAATACCACGCCTGGCTGAAACATTTTTTGTTGTTTGCTTTTTTAATTTTATAAGTATAGATTTTAAAATCACGTCTCATTTTTTACTGTTTTTTCAAGTCAACTGTGTAATAGTAGGATCTGTACATGCAATATGGTTCAGAATTTATAAATTCCTTCCTGGAATTCTGGGCCAGCCCAGGTCAGACTGGACCTGGCAGAGTGGTAGCCCCCAAAACTGCACCTAGCCTGACCAGTCTTTCTCTGTAGCCCTCTTTTCTAGCTTTTCCCCTAGGCCAGGATGGTATGTATGAGGGGGCTTCTTGGAATCTTTCAGGGTCCTAAGGGTGGTCATCATCAAGGACCAGGCCCAGGACATATGTGAGGAGTGTCAATATCCAGGCCAAACTTGTCCCCATCTGGTGGTTATATGAAGCACAGGGGTGTCCCTTAGGCCAGGACTAACGAGACAGCTGTACCCAGGGACAGAAGACAGTTTAAGGGTACCAATTCGGGCCTCCTTGGACCTTCTGCTGTGGGTGATGGTGGGTGAATGTTTGTTCCCTGGGACCTGTCCTGCCACCTCCCTCTCCAACAATCAGACCTCTGCCCTGGCATGTGGTATGTCTGACTCTCCAGGCTGAGTGTCCCCACACCCAGTGTGGACAGCTCTGGGTCAGCCTCCCTAAGTTGGCCACTCTATTGAGAAGCTCAGGTTACTATACTGTCTGAGGGGCCATTGACTTGGTGCGAACATTTTAAAATACTGGATTGCAGAAACCCTACAATATGGTTTGCTTCTGACCACTAGAAAGTGAAAAACCATAAAAGCCACAGTTGCTGAAATCCTGTACCAGAGAGCTCTGTGAAAGAGGGTGCAGCGGGAGCCTTGAAAGACCCTTGTCTGACCACACAAGGTTCTAGGGACCAAAGAATGTAATTTAAACTGGACACCAGCCCAATCTTGCCTTCATCTATCTTTCCTGGAGAACTCCTACAAATCCTTCAGAAACGTCCTCAAAATGCTGTGGACCTCCGAGTCCTCATTGATGGGTATGTTTCTCCTTGCTCCAGGGTGGCCTTGGCACAGCAGGATGCCCCCGTCTGACCACATCCTCCCATGTAGGCCCTGGGCCCAGTCCACAACCAAACATTTGGTGGGAACCTTGGCTTGTCCTCCCTCAGCCTGGTTGCCTGCCTCTGTGTATGTGAAGGCTTCTGAGCCCTTTGTGAGCTTGGCCCAGGAGCCTCAAGTCACCTTGGCATGGTTTCTCTCTCCACCACAGGGGCAGTTGTGTGGAAATGACCTTTTGTCTCAACCAAATACCACCACAGAGACCCACCCAGCTGCCACTTCCTGTTGCTGTGGCTTCATAGGGGACAAAAGTCTGTAGGAACAGAGCCTGGAGTCCAGGGCCAGGAAAGTCAGCATAGGGCAGGACTGGCCTGAATGGGCAGGCAGCGGCTATAACAGTTACATCTGACGTCTGCCAGAATCTGGCAGGCATGCACATGCCATGCATACATACGCATGTGCAGAAGGGACCTGTGAGCTCCATGTATGCACATGCAGAAGGCACGTATGTTTTCATGTATCTGTGCAAACACTGGCCTATATATGCTTGTGTGTACAGGTACACACAGCCAGGCACACACCTTTCTACAGGAACTGCTGTGCCATCTTGGGAGTACACTCAGACAGAGACAGAGAGGTGGGACCGGCAGAAAGCAAGCAACGGTTCAGCACTGGGGACTGATCCAGCCCCCAAGCTGGGGCAGGGTGTAGAAATTAAACAGCCCATCTCCACTACACTGCCAGAAGCTCACATGGCAGGGTTCCCGGCTGGCTGGCTGGCAGCTGACTGGCCTGGGCTCCCTCTTCATCCTCTACCTCCTGCCTGCCCCTCCTTACCCTTGTTTTTTCTCCAAGACTAACTTGCAACAAAATCCTTTAGTCTATTTTCTCTCGACTGTGTGGAACACCTGGTCAGGACAAATGGGTGATGCATTAGCACCTAAAGCTAGACACACAGCCAAGATCCTTGAGCTGCACCCTGGGTTTTAAAGAAATCAAATTCCAAGTCCAGAGACTTGAAGCTTCTGGAGGGAAGGCAGTGTCTCAGCAACCCTGTTCCAGACAGTGGGTATCAGTATCACTGAGGACACCTGCCTCCCTAGGACCTTCGGGGCTCCGGTAGAACCTGGAGCAGCAGGTGGCAGGGTTGTATTAGGGGAGAAAAACAAGGAACCACGCCCTGAGCCCTCCAAGAGGGAAAGTGCCTTTGGAGATGCTAAGGTCCTTCTCTCCTTGCATCTTCATCTTGTATGGGGGGGGGGATGTAAGGAGAGGAGGGTGAGGTGAGTGTGTGGGCTGGATCTGCAGCAGCCAGATGCTGAGATCCATCCACCCTCCTGGTCCCACCCTGCTATGCCTTCTTGAGACATCAGGAAAGGTACACACAGGCCTTCCAAGGAAGCTGGAGCCCCTGACAGGGGACTATACAGTTCAGGGAGCAGGTAGCTGGAGGTCCCACTGCCCAGTACATGCTCAGAGGGCTGAGCACTGTGGTGCCTGCCAGCAGGCAAGCTCTGTGGGTTGTGGGGTCCTCAAAGCAGCCCACAGCACTGCCAGGCAGCATGTGCAGGGCCCGGTGCCCAGAAGACCTGGCAAAGCTATTAGGCCTGAAGTGCCTTTCCAGCATTAAAAAAAAAAAAAAAAAGCCAGAAACTTTTTCTCTAGGCCAAGGATAAATTAGCTAAGGACAAATGCAGCGCGATGATCATTTATCACCGCCAGCCCGGGAGGATCCTGGGAGCCCGTCCTGGCCTGTGACTCAAGGTCAGAAGCCTTGCTTCCCTCATTATTTCTATTTTTAACAATTGTGTTCAGGCCTTCTGCAAAAATAGCAAAAGGTGAGACCATTTCAAGCACTAACATGCTGCCTTTTGTCAGAAAACCCCGGGATGCAGGAAAATGCGGCCAGGACTTCTGCAATGAGGCTCTGAGTCTCCACTACCTGAGCTGAAATTGGACCTTGATGATGCCCTGATTTATCACTAGATAGTACAAGTGGGTAAACTGAGGCCAGAGGGCAGGCTAGTGCCCAAGAGCATTTGGGGAGCCAGGCCCCAGAGCCACAGCTACTGACTTCACTGCATCGTGGGCTGGGACCAGGAAGGGACACCTGGCCACAGAGCCATAACAGACAAGAGGGTCCTGCAGAGGAACGATAAGGGCACAGTTTCTCCACTGCCAAGTGCAGGCAGCCACCTTTCCAGCAGCCCCTGAGAATACATCCTTGACCTGCCCACAGCAGCCCCATGCTGTCCATCACAGGAAATGAACATACGTCCATGGGGTGCAGCTGAGGACTGTGGGATGCCCTTGGGGACTCCCTGTGTGCCAGGTGTATGTGTGGGTACAAGGCACAAGCCATGTATATGAGGCACACATGTGAGTGTATACATGGGGGTACACCTGGGCATGTGTACAAATGTCTGCATGTATGCATTCAAGTTCACATGTGCATGGTGCAGGGATGAGGACACACTTAGATTCACATGCAGATACATATGTATGCATGTCTGTATGGTGTACTTATATGTACACATGTACAGCTGTTTCCTGAGATCCAGAAAAAGGGACTTCTTTGAAGATGTCAGGAGGCTCCTATGGCCACTTCTTCCTCCCTGGGGAGTTGGGCATTGCTGGGCAAGATTGTGTTCACAATGGAACCTGGGGCTTCCTCCACCGGTCTCCCAGGGGTGGGCTACCCTACCCCATTGGAGGGAAGGTTCCCTCATGAGGCTTCTTCTCATGGTGGGCATGGTGCCCCGATGCCTCTCACGGCCCTTGGAGAAAGGCCACACATGATTTGATTCCTGGCTTCTGCAAGCCTCACCTCACCAGCTAGTCTCTGAGTGGTTCTGTCAATGGGTATTTTTCAGGTTTCCTAATTTTCTAACTGCCCACATTGCCCTTGCCGGCCCAGTGACAAAGCCAGGGTGACAAGGGGCCTTCTGGATGCACTAGTCAGCCTGTCTCACAGTCTGCTTTCTGGGCTGTCATGTGTGACATGGGAGAAGTGAGCAAGATTCTCATCCTATCAGCTCCCAGTGAACACCGGGTCACTCCACAAGTACCGGACTCTCTTGGAAAGCCAGGGCCCTCGAGTCCCTGTGGCTCCAGACCATGCTCTGCCAGAGGAAATTCAGAGCCAGCAAAGCCAAAGGCCAATGCCCAGGACAGGTAGAGGCCAGAGGTGTGAGCTGAGTGCCCTATCTGGTGTGAAACTTGTAACCCAGTATGTCTGTAAAGCAGCCTGCATGTCCAGGAGCACCCAGAATCCCTCTGGCCATCCCATCCTCAACAGGCCTCCTCTGTGTTCCAAGGCAGAGTGTCTGGGACCTTGTGGCCCATCTGTGCCGGAAAAGCAAGGTATACCATTTCTTCGTCTCTGGGCATGGAGATGTTTTGTACATATAGAATTAGAAGAGACTTAAAATTCCTGTAAATGTAGTTGTTTATAAATTACCAGAAAGGGGATTATTGTTTCTCAAGATACTCAAAGAAGTTGTTAGCTATGGAATATCCCCCCAGAGATGGGATATCACTGAGGTCAGAGCCAGAAAGGACAGGGACCCCAGGGGCTGCAGCCCTTCCTGATCTGGGATTCCCTCCTAGTGAGCCATGCAAACCAGCAGCCACCTGGATTCAGATTTTGGCCAGTGACTGCCAGCTAGAAGCTTCACATCCCTCCTGGGGCAGTTCAGTGATCGTGTAAGTGGAAAGAAGCCAGGCATAAACAGTGAGCTCCATGTGTAGGAAATCCTACAGCAGACAAAAGGAGTCTGCAGTGTTGGAAATTAAGACATAACTCCCAGGGAGGGAGTGTGCAGATGGTAACTGGGGAGGTGATAAGATGAAATAATTACAAGCCAGAGATCCTGTCCAGGGTCCAGCAAGTCCCGAGCACTGCTCTTCCTCCGCCTTGGCTCTGTCTGCCCTCGCTGAGGAAACCTGAAAAGGTTTTGCCTGATGTAGGCTGAGGCCTTGAAATCTGTCCACCTTTCTTGAAAATCAAGACCCACAGAGTTGTTTATTCTTATCAGCAAGGTGAAGAGATTGTTCAAATGAAGAAACAAGCAGAAAACAACCTCCAGCACTGAAGATATTTGTGGTATCACCTACATAAGAATTTGGGGTCTGTGTATGGTGTTTTCAGCATTTGAGGGATGAGGTGAATTATGATTTGTGAAGAAAATACTGGAATGTGATGCAGTTATCTGAAAAGAGCTTTCAAAAGGACTTAGCTCTTAAGGAAATAATGCTGATCTTAGGTGAAAATGAGTTGCCAGAAGTCACACAGTGCCAGACCTGGTGGGTGAGGTGGATGAGGACACCCCACAATGTGTTAATTTGACAGAAATTGATGTGCCTGAGGGATATGTGACCCAGAGTGTTGTAATGATGGAATAGGAAATCTATTTCTTAGGCCTTTTTCTTCACACATCATTTCTTAAATAATAAACTCTTGTAATATTCAGGGCTCATGGTAATGTTCCTAGGTACAAACTTAGCTTGTATAATTCCATCAGGGTCAAGAAACACAATATCCCCTATCTTGACTGAGACCCTTTTTATTTTTGGTTTGAGGAGAAGTAGGTGATTTCCATTGAGAACTCTGCAGCTTTGCCTCAGGATCATAACCATAGACCTAGATTTCATCTTCCAAGATGACAGTTCTTAAAAAGCTGGAATCTGGAGAGATAAGATCACACAACTCCAGTGAAATGTGTTGTTGATGATCCATGCTTTAGGGCATACTTTGAAACACACTTTCTACTGTAGTTCACAACTGACTGCACTGAGCAAGTTGAAACTTGTCAGGCACTGTAACTAAGATTTGATAGACTGCTTCAGTAATGATCTCTGCTTTTGTATTGAATGGCACACAGTAGCTGCATTCACCATATTTCTGATCATGCCTTGTAAGAACTGTTGCAGACACGAAAGATGTAAAAATCATATTGTACAAATAGTGGCTGTGTGGTGCTTCAAACTGACCCAAAATATATGATTTTGCTAACACAGAGGAGGACAAAGGTCCATGATGAGGAGCCAGGTTGTGGGATCCAGGTGAGACCCAGGGGAGGGTAGGTGTTGGGGCAGCAGCACAGGCAGGGGCAGCTTGAGGGGAGGCTGGGAGCAGGAGTGGAAGAGGCCTCTCACTTACAGTGAAGTGAGCAGGGCCCCTAGCCTGGGCTGAGCCTCCTCCTAGGTTTGTCATAATTAAAGCAACAAAGATCAATGATACTAACATTGTCCAAAATGATGATGGAGAAACTAATTACCGAGAAAAAATTTTTGAGATAATAGAGAGTGAGGTGTGTGCACATAAATATTTTTCCTTTTAATCAATTGTGATTAGAAGCGCCAATGCCTGAAGCTGGGCCCTGGTGAGGAGATGTAGGTCTTTCTCTGCCATCCTGGCCATTACTTAACCAGGGGGCTGAAGGCAAGAAACAAATCATCACTGGTTCATTTTATGGCTCATTAAGCAAGCATAGCAGACACCCATTACTGCTTTTTGGCATTAAGGAGATGTTGAAACGTATGCATTGCTAATGACACTGGAATTAGCAAAGGTCAGAGCGAACATTAATGGAATTCTTAGAACATTAATGGAATTCTTATCCGCACAGTCTAAGTGGATCCATTTCCTCTTCTTAGTAATGGTGTGAGTGCTATTAAAAGCAAGGCTGGAACCCACACAATGAGGGATGGAGTCCAGATGAGAGACTCAGTGCCTGAGGCACCAGCCCCACCCAGGGTCCTCTGGGAGGGGCGGGGATCCCAGCAGGATCGACCTATCTGATGTTTTGGCACTCACCTGGGATCCCACAGGACTTGTGCAAAATGGATCTAATAATTGTTTTCACCAAAATGGAGCTGCAGTGGGAGTTGCCAGGAGGTGGGCAGGATGAATCTTTGTTGAACTCCAGCCTTGGGCACCAGGATGTCCTGTAGCTCTGAAGGTCCCACGGCCCTTTAGAGACCCTTGGGCATCCATATGTCACTTAGATGGGGCCTTCAGCCAAGCCCTGTGGCTCCTGAGCTTTCCTCCAAGTGAACGGTGATGTGGCAGACTGAATCTGCCATCTGTGGATGCCACTTGCACTCACCTGGAGCAGCCCAGAAGATCAGGGCTGGGTGAAGGATGCCAGCTAGCTACCTGAGGTCTCGATCTCTGCACACTGACTTCCAAGTCATGACCAACCAGAAAAGTGAATGACTTCCCAGCCCACTGCAGAGGATGCCCAGGACTGAGGATGCCCAGGATTGAGGATGCCCACGATTGGCCTTCCAGGAAATAGGTTCCTCTACTTCCAGCCATGGCCAGAGTACGGAATCACTGGAGAGTCTCCTGCTCTCCTCCCTGTGCTAACTTAGCTAACTCAGGCCCCTAATACACAGCCTCCTTGCAGTGTCATTTGGAGGTTTTTGTTTTTGCCAGGTATTCCAAATGCCTGGCAATGAATTATGAAGAATGCATACATTAGAGCTGAGAACTTAGACCCTGTACTCTGGGAAGAGGAAGGCAACTTCTCTCTCATCTGCTGGCAATGCTTTGTCACCAGGTGTCCCCAAACGCAATCAACTGAGCATTGTAAAACAAGGATTGAGGACGGCAGTGTCTGGTGTTCTCATAGAAAGCTACTCACACTTGGCTGTGGATTACTTTAAAAATACAAGCCTAGTGGGAGGGTTGTGAGCACCGTAAGAAGTTCACTTATACATTTTCTGATGTTATTAGTGGCCAAATTAAAAAGAGAGTCTACTTCCTATATAGGTACTAATGGGAATGTGGGTGTCATTTGGCCATACCTCAGGATAACCCTGGGGCTCACCCAACATCACACT